AGCCGCAGTGAAGTCGCTTTAATTGTATTGCACAAAATAATTTGTACACATATTGCTTTATAAAGATTAACATTAAACGTTGCAAGAAGATAAGATTTTCATTGAAAACGTGTAAGATGTTAAGACCTCACAATATAAAATGCTTAAACAATCATGGTCCTGATAAGGAAAATCGCACATTTTTTCAATTTTGTTTACAATAGCGATAGGTAAAGCGTAAATTCAATGCTTGGATAAAAACGACTCTAATTTCATTAACAAAACAGCAGCTATTAACTACATGTACATGCATATAGAATTTAAACATGATGATAAACAAAATAACATGTTATCTGTTTACATGTAACCACTTTGACTTAAAAACATTTTAAAAAAAAAACTTACCTTTTTCAAGTCCTATGCATAAATATGTTATCACTATTTCAACAAAGGTATAAAAGCATTGTTAGTCTTGTGACAATTAGTTATATTGGGTTTATCAGTCACGCACAGTGACTCTACTGTTAACGCACATGGTAGTAGGTGTAACGCAAAGGAAGAGTAAGTTGGGTAACATGTCTTGCCTACTTTAAAACTGTTCCTGTGTTCCAGAGTTTTTAATTACAAAACTGAAAATAATTAACAAAATTATGGTGGTTCTTAAGCAACACTACTCTAGTAAAAAACTATGCTTGATAAAACAAATGCGTAAAATATCTTTAAACAAACGCAAAAAACACCAACATTAAATTAAAGCTTTCAGTGAAACAGAACATTTTTAAAAGCAAAAATCTTAATAAAAAAGAAAAAAGTATTGAAATAAAGATGCTAGACATGATTACAAAGAACAATTATCTGAAGTATCATTTATTTTAACAAATAGAAAACTGGAAAAAAAACATTGTTTTCATATATACCATTCTTAGGAAGAAAGAAGAAAAATAATAATAAATATATGACAAGCTCCTAATAAATTCTAAGTTCAAAACGAAAATAATCATGAAAAACCCATGTGCTAGACTATTAAATCTACTCACATATGATGTAGGTGTTGATAATGAAACAAATAGTTGAAATAAAAGTAAACCCGCGAATAAATAAGAAAACTTTTTAGAAAAAAAAAACAAGGAAAATTCAAAGATTAAATGAAAGATAATACTGGAAATACGGACACTATATTCATAAAACCTTGTCATCTTTATTTTGATGTGGTAGTTTGAAGTAAATATTTTAAGAAAAAAAGAGGTTTCAATAATGATAATAACAAAAAAAAAGCTCAGAGGGGACATAATTCTGGAAATAGCCAAGCTAGAGTATCGAATCTTCTCACACATGATGTATGTTATAAGAAGAAACATTTACTCGAAGTTTGAGGGTAGTTTCCTTAAAAAAGAAAGAAGTTCTAGAAAACAAAACATGTTTTCATGATTTATCCATGTTCAAGGATAATAATTCTAATAATATAGTAGCTAGAATAATGAACCTTGCCACATATAATGTGGGTGATAATAAGATATATATCTTTGTAGTTTGAAGCAGATACATTAGAAAATAAAAAATAAAGTTATTTCTAAAAAACATTTCTTTCGTGAAAATTCTAAGTTAAAGGGGTTTTTCTGATAATTTCCTGCTAATCTTGTCACATATTATGTGGTTGATGATCTGCAGTATACTATAATTGATTTAACTTTTGTATTATATGTTTTGCATTTATATAGACGAGGAGTTTAGAGGTCAAGTCTACAAATAAAGATTTTGTTCTGTTCTGTTTTGTTCAGAACATATATTTCAAAAATAAAAATAAATACTTTAAGAAATAAAGAAGTTATAGTGAAAAAGGTGGCCACTGTCTAAAATATTAATCAGAAATATAAACGCAGTAGGCAGCTCTCAATATACATGGCAATAAGCAAGCGTAAAATGATGTGCATAATCTCCATACTGTCATCTATCTATACCTTAAGTTTTATGTACTATAAGAATTATCACAAATAGTGTTTTATTTGTTATATTCGCTAATCATACGTATTTACATCATATAGCCTTCATTTGTCTCCCTGTGATAAAATATTATTTTCTGGTTAGCTAACGGATTAAACATTTTTGAGGCGCTTCAAACTAAAGCATCTTGTCGTGATGAACTTCTAAGCAAGAAGACTTTCCACATAAATTTACTAAATGGTGAGTAACACACAACGAACTAAGAATGACACGAGATTATGTACTGCATGCTTATTTGATTAGAACTGGTATGTTACAACTCTGCAGACTAAAGCAGAGAAACTTTATGGTGCATAAGTTTTATTTTCATACTAGAAAACATTATAAGAAATTGTTTTATAAGCAGTGATGAAAATGTTTTAATCGATGTTCTATATGCCTTGATAAACACTTATAACTTACTTTTTATAGTGTATGAGAAATTTCCAGGCTGTTGACTGCGAGCTACAAGTCATCATGAATTTTCTCAGTATTTAACTAACATATTTTATTCAGTCACCATCTACCTTTGAGAAAGATATCGCCCAAAACAAATATTTCTTTTGTACAAAGTCTATACCAGCTTCATTTTAAATCTTCATTTATATGACTCATGTCAAGCGCTTGCTGCATAACACACCCAAAAGATAAGGTTATACCTATATTAACGTTGTGCTTTACTTGTAAACAAATGTCATTTTCAATATCGGCCCATGATATACTTATAGAAATATGTAATTCTAACAGTTTTGATAAATGTAAGAGTGCTTGCCATAATGATTTGATATTTGTTTTGTGATCATTTATTACGTTAAACGATAAGTAATAAGTAAAGTAAATATAAATCGTAGCGAATTACTGAAACTTACGAAACCTCTAAACAATCAATCAGTCGTCTCAGGTAATATTGCCAACATTTTTCTAATAAATAAACCTTTGTCAAGGTATGACAGTTTAATAAAAAAAAACATGAAATAGATCGGTATCATCGAATATTTGTCAGCATGACTTCAACAAGTAAATTTTGATGCCTGTCAATGATTTAAGTAAAAGGCCTCTAATGAGGAAAAGTGTTTATTTACAAAGGCAAGGGGTGGGAATTAAGCTAGACCAAAGAACATTCTTAATTTTTGCATGATTAAAGAAAAAAATGGATCTCATAACCCAACTGTCACTTAAAGTGAAATCTATTAAGAAAGGTTTATAACACAATTGTTTAAGTAATTGACATAATTCTCGTTGATGAATATCTTCCAACTAAATATTTTATGTGAAATGAAAGAATGTGTTGCGAAATAATGATATTAGAATATTGAAGAACTAAACTTTCTATAACTTTCATATCTCGTCAAGATATATTTGTTTAAATACTTTTATTAAAACGTAATAGACTTGTTGACAGAACACTTCAAGGAAGAATGTGATGTCTGTGTCATCTAAATAATCTGTTATCTATATTGGAATATACTCAAATAACCGGTAACCATGGATCAGATAAGAAAAATTTGAAAAGGTTTCGTATGGTGTCTGATTAAAGCCATTAAAATGTTCGGGTTTTCGCTACTACAAAATATACGAAATAACAAAATAATGACTTTCTTTCACTTTATAATATTACATATCATGGTTGCTGATTTGTGCCATGTCGTATTTTTGCTCCACAAGGTGCCAAACAAAAAAAACGAAAATATGACAATTTTTATACATGACGCATATCAACCATCTACATTTTATTGCATTTACGTGGCGAATGGCGGAAGGTTGGAAAAATTAGGGGAAAATATGACTTTTAAAACGCAATGTTGAGAAACACGATGATACGATACAGGTGTGCTATTTATACGTGAAAACGGTCTTTTTATATATCAATATATATACAATATATTTCTTCTTTCTAATTGATATTTCCGCCCTCCTTTTTAAAGTTTTTGTTTGTATTATTATTATTACTTACTTAAACTATTCAATGTTTTTTTTCAAAAAATCGAATATTGAAAATCGGCATTGAATTTTGTTTAAGGAAGTTTTGTTGTTTGATTGAGTTCTACGTCACACCGACACAGTACTGGTCTTATGGCGGAGTTCCAGCTTTACTGATGGAGGAAAACCTCAAAAGGTGTCCTTCCCCGTGATTCTTTCAGACAAGAACGGGAACCTGAGTAGAACCACCGGCGTTCCGTAAGCTTGCCTGGATAGCTTCCTCACATGACAGAATCCAAAGTCCCTGTCAGGATTCGAACCAACAGCGGTGAGAGGCAAGTGGTTTGAAGTTAACGACCTAAAACAACTCGGCCACGGACGCCCCTGGTTTAAGGAAGAGCTACTGATTCATTTCCGACGGTTTTTATGTTTGTACTATCCTTAGTTTCTTTAGGCTGCTATGCTGCTAGGTTGCCAATTTCAGGCTGTTAGGCTGCCCAATTTCACGAATATGAATTTTACCCCTTTCATATTCTGCGAAAAATATGTTTACCCTAAGGAGAAACTCATTTATATAAAAGGAGTCAAAATTGCGTAATCTTAAAGCTTATACAAGTGTGCGGGACCGAATGTAAACACTAAAATAAAGTCTGATTTGTAAGCTTTGATTCTTGAAAAAATAAATACTTGAATAATAACGAAATATATCAAAGTAATATTATAATTGCTTATGTTTATGATATTAGCGTTAATATTGTGCCGAATATAAAAAAGCCCGATACGAAAAAAAATCTCCGTTATTTTGTTAGAATTAAAATAGTACCAGTCTTAGAGGCATATATTGGCTTTTTGACACTAATATGATGTTTTGAATTGTAGAAATTCACCAGGTCTGAGTTTTAAGAAACCATTGTAATTTCAGTTTTTTATCATGTAACTGCCATAGAAATTGCCCGTGATAATCGTACGTGTTTTTGCATTTTGTGGCAAAAGAAGCATAACATGCGATTTGGAGTAAATCAGCCACCATTGTTTTAATAGATTTATAGTTTTCCAAAACAAAAATTCCGGTATGAGATATGTTACAAAAATAGAACTGTTCTAACGTTTATCTATATGCAAAGTAGGCTAGCATATTGCATTTGGATTAAAACCTTCATGACGGGACAGGCACATTTAGGTAAATAAACATCTGTGAGTATTAGTTAGATTAGTTATTTTAAACAGTAAACAAAGTAGTTCATTACATGTTATATATCATTTCATCAATATAATAATTGCGTATTCAATGAAATGAAATTAGTCGGAGGCAAAAGAAGACATTCATTTCTATTTTACAAAAGAAAAAAAACATGTCTTTTATACTTGATGGTACTTTTTTGATGCTGTTTACGTTTTACCAGTTCAATATTATACTATCTGGTTCGTTTTAAAAGAAACCGGGTTTATGTGCAAAATTTATATATTCTTGATAATTGACATTGTTACAATGGCCCCACTTTTGCTTTGTATCATAATGCAGCTACTGCAAGAGCTCTCAATACAAAGTGCAACAAAAACTAATTTTAACAGAAATATACATTTTTACCTGAAAAATAAAGTATTTTTACCATTTGTCGTCGAGTGAAGTCAAATTTAAAATACTGTTTTCTCGAATTTTATGAAGTAACGAGTGTTTTGTTTTGGGCTTTACTCCGAGAACAATTGAAATTAAAATCCGATGCATCTTTTAATCTTTTTATTCTCGTACTTTACATTCTTTAGATGTCAAAAGGAAAATGAAAGTGCCTTTAATGCCTTGATAAAGCAACCATTTAATTGTCCGTTGCCGAATTTATATTTGTTAAGTAATTTGATTGTCTAATAGAACACAGGTACAACATCTTGTCCTTGACAGGGTTTAAACCCACGCGGCCAGCAATCCTGGCGCGTTTACCACACGAGCATACCGCGACTTACTTGATTATTTTCGACAAAAGACTCATAAATAATCTTTCAAAAGTACTAATCAGGCATATTCAATATGTTAGATTGGTTCAAGAACCAATAATACAATTTAGAGGTTAAAACTTGGTTGCTGCTCGCCATTTACGCGGGCCCTCGGGTCATTATGCACTTCCGTTTTATTTCTGTAGGACATATCATTACGCCTCGACAAGTATTTGTAAGGATAAACTGAATAAACGCAAAACAAAAACTCTTTGATCATTCTAACATTTTCCTTTGCTTTAACTCTAGGTATATACGTTATAACCAAATGGCCCAAACATACACAAAATGATTTTCATGTGTCATTACAGATGTTTGTGATTTATGAATTTCAATGTATGATATAAAATATTTGTATAAGATTTGAAAATTACCAACATACAAACAATTCCCTGCGTGTGACAAAGATAAGTGACCTATCATTTTACCTACAGTGGTAGCGATAACAAGGTTTATAAATACCTTCAGGGTTTTTTTTTTCTAAAATACATTTATCAAATCCGACAGCATTAAACTATCAGAAATGGGATACATAATATAACAAGCGGAGATTTTCTATCTATTCTAAAACATTTAAAAACAAGGCTTTTTTCATGACATGGCTTTTTTTCAATTAACTGCTTCTGTGATCCGTGCTAAAACCACCGAAAATTAAATTTTGTTTATTTAGCGCTACAATATCCTATTACATCGCGTGTTGAAATAAAAAATTGTGAACCAAAAGCGAACAAGCTAAAAGTGATCACCTTTGTTTGCATTAATGAAAATTTATAAAATTGTTAACTTTATGTGACATAATAATATTTATAACATAATATATGTTATACTTGTACAACCTCAGACGAACATGCTTGTAGGTGAAAGGAGCAAAGTTACCATAAAAGTGTCACAATAACCACCGTATATTTTTAAATTCAAAATTTCACCATTTTCATGTTTAATTGTTGAATTCTCCTTAAGCGTGCTAGGCGATGTGGACGGTAGTTTGCACTTGACAGAACCGTCCATGAACAGGCTCAATCAAACAGAGACTGCAGTATTTTCCATTTTACTGTTAATGGATTCCTATTGCTCTATTTTATCTTTAATTAGTGTTGTACAATTTGATTACATGTATACCGTCTGTAGATGCTTTTACTTTCAATATTAATAACAAATCTAAGATAATTTTCAACATTTATATACTTAAAAGCCCTGGCTTTGTAGTTTTTCTCTCGGTTAAGATACTTTTGATTATACCTTTTCTTTTTAGACACATATATTTGATAGTTTTTACCTAAAATGAAATAAAAAATGGGATAATCTACTCGTGTTAGCAATTAATAGTTAACCCGCCAACAAAATACTTTTGCAATGCATTATGTTTGTTACAGGAAAAAGTTTATAAATATGAAATTTTACTATAATTATGTGCATAAGTGTATTCTACTTTAATAACATATTTCTATATGTGTATTTCAGTCTTGCGTTGCAATACAATTTTACAAAGGAGAAAAATGACACAGTACGAGAACCATTCAGTTCTTATTTCGAACTTACTTGATTACAAAGGATATGGAGGACAAATGTTATCAATTAGAAGGGAAATACAAAGTGGTATTGAAGACGATCTGAACCAAAAAACTGCTTCTTGTTGTCAATTTTACACACTTTTAGTTGGGAGTAAAGCCGAGGGTCTTACAGCTCCCTTTGAGAATGATTTGGATATGATGCAAGTTCTAAAAGACACAGTCTGCAAAGAACATTCAACTTTAGTAGAGCACCAAGAAGAGCATGAAGAAGAGCACCAATTCAAACTAGTTTCAGATCTTTCGCGCCCTGGTTATTCTTTACTTCAAACTATTCACATTTGTGATAGTCTTGATACAGCCACACTACTTTACAAATCGATGGTTGAACTAGCTCCGGATAATTTATACCTTTCTAGTGACTTTTTGAAAAATGAAATTAAAAAGTTACTCATTGGAATTTGTAAATTGCCCGGAAATCAAGGGTTTGCTAATGTACATAATGAAACGCAAGGTCCTTCAATAGTGATAAACAAGTCTGAAACACCAAGTGATACTGTGGTAGCACTTAGATGCGAATGCCCTAGCTATTTATTTGCATGGAAAAGTAGAAAAAGGAATCATCAGTGGCCGCCTATTGCAGTCGTAAGAGAAGTTTCGAGTTTAGATTCACACGTGGTTCCAGTAGGACATACGGGTAGCTGTTTACAATCCTTAGAATGGAGAATATGTTTCACCAAAGGTGAAATAAAATTGGTTCATAGTTTGAATGACTGTCTTACAAAAGTTTTAATCTTGCTAAAACAAATTGCTAAAGTCACTTTGAAACCTTTAAGTAAAGATATGTCTTCCTATCTTATGAAGAATGTAGTATTCTGGTTAGCTGAACTAAATGACTATGATTATTTTACTCAAGATGCATTGATAGTTGCACTTAAAAAGGCACTGGCAGACCTGAAGAAGTTTGTTGTTGCGAACAATTTTCCAAGCTATATGATTCCACAAAGAAATTTGCTCGAAGGCAAACTAACACACTCACAACGAATTAAAATTTGTATGAGAATAGACTCTCTTCTGAAGGAAGGACCATACATGGTCTTGAAAATTGGAAAGATCCGGAATGCTATCTCAATGTGTTACAAGTCACCAACAGTATTTAGTCGAATTACAATGAAATTGCACGAGATGCATATTAATTTTTATCTATTCTTAAAATTCTTAATTCTCTCGCTACCAAAATCACCACGTGTTCCCGATGATATTGTTAGAAGTTTATTTTCAAACAGTATAGTGGGGATTTTCTGGATTAGATTTAGTTTGTCTATGTTGGACGTAGCACAATGTTACAAAGACATAGGCGAGATTAAATTCCTTGATTGTAGTAATGTATTATGTTAACATACCTACACCATTATGTTAACATACCTAAACAGAGATAGACAAAAAATATTTGAAAAATATTCCTATGAAGAAGCTTTACTGCATTTTTCCCTTGAAATTTCAAAAAAAAATGTCCACCATTATATAATTAGGCTAGTCTGCTGAATCTAAAAGCAGACTCATTTACCCGGACATGATTTGCACACAATTGCAACTTACATTTTCTGTAAGATTGTTGCCTGTATATTCTAAACCAAAAGTTTTCAAAAGTTCACTGCCGGAAAACTCCAATATACATGAAATATACATGTAGGAAGAAAACTGTTTTCTTCTTTATAATAGATAATTAGACATTTTCTTTCAGTATAGAAAGAAAGATATATAACTCATATATAAAAGTGCTATTTTTTAATTATTCAGGTTATCCGCCCAAAAATTAAAAATATTTGAAGATGAATTTGAATTACAGTAGGAAGTACAAGAAATATTTGCGTAATATAGTGCGTGAATGTTTGACATATATATATATATATATATATATATATCATTACATACTTGGTACAAAGAAATGATGATGAAGAAATTATCTTATTGTATTTATCTTATCTGATTTAAAGATGGAAGGTGATCGAGTAAAATCTATTTACAGGAATTAGTTCACAATCACTATTGTGTTTGCTAATGTTTGTTATATCTGTCAATATTTGACTGAACAAAATGTGTCATGCAAATATATTCCAATGATATATAACTTGCCACCTTAGATTTTTTATCATGTAAATAGATACAGTGGCTCACAAAATTAACAGGTGCTTCAAAATTGACATATTTTTTTTATCAGATATGGGTCATAAAAACATGTAAAGTTTGATGATTTTTGAATGATTTGGCACCAATGAATACATGTGTGACACTTTTGCCTAATGATGATTTTTGAATGATTTGGCACCAATGAATACATCTGAGACACATTTGCCTAAGACAATTTTTTATATCTTATAAATGTCGATGTCATGTTTGCAGACATAAGCAATAAGCTTTTGTAATGTGCTTATGACTCAGGTATACTTATATCTGATAGAAATAAATCTGAGGTTGAAGAAATTATATCTTATGGCATGAGCCTTATAAGTGATTCGTTAATTTACCATCAATTGTATCTGCATCTTGGCAAGACAGAGTCTATTCTTGTTGGGACCAAGTTTACACTTTTAAAAACAGTGTCCTACGCTCAAAGTCACGTGTTATAGTACTAATATGAAAACCACATCTTCTGTTGAGTATTTAAGAGCAACCCTTGATCAAAATCTACCTTTTAAAATTATTGCACAAATCTTTCTTTAATAGGCAAATGTAAGGTTAAAGTTAAGAATTTACATGACCTTACCCAACATACTAAAACATTAATTGTTATATCTTAGATACAGTGTCATTTTGACTATACATGTTTAATCTTGTATCATTGGTTGACACGGGTTTTGAAAAATAAGCTCCAAACAACACAGAACAAGTTAAAGATATTTGTATTCGATCTGAATATAGGTGCAACATTTCAAAATGTTATAGTGGTTACCTGTTAAAACACCGTTTTATTTTATGTCATGTTTTTAAGTCGATCTTAGCTTAGCCCCAGTCTACTTGAGTCATAATTTCATTACTTCAGAAACTGTGCATAGTTATAACATATGTCTTTGTAAAAGGGCCATTTTCAATTCCTCAAGTTTATCGGTTTGGATTAAAATCATTTCCTTACACAGGCTGTTAACTGTGGAACAATTTGAAAGCCAGTATTAATGTCATAAAATTTTGCCTACTTTCAAACTTGCTAAAAGCCTCAAAGCGAGCTCGATTTACTTTTACCGTGAAATAGAATTAAATAATCGTTCATTTTCATTTTACATTTTCTGTTTTAAAATTGTCATTCGGTATTTTATACACCGCTTCCGTTTTTTCTGGTTCCCTGTCTTCTGATGGTTCCCATATAAGTGCGCAGGACACCGGTCTACACTTCCGTTTTCAATCAGAATACTTCGGCTGTCATCGTTATCTTGTAATTCGAAAAGTTGCGATGTGTCAGTTCAGTACCTCGGACGAAAGTTTTCAAAACCATCACTATCTAGTAGGTACTCGCGTTACATTAAAGCTCGCTTTGCGAGTAGCCCTTTGGGCCAGCTCTTCGAGCTCGCTATAATGCGTGTAATGATACATTTTGGCATGAGTATTACACGAAGATTTTCTTCTAGAAAACAATGCTTATGTCGCGTTTAAGATAAAATGTCTTACCTATAAGATAAAGACTGAGAGTAATAATACGACTGCACTGCTTAAAGGCTATGGAAATATCTTTTGATAGTTTTAGATCATTTACAAGAAACACCATACATTTTTGTTTTCAATTAGATCTATTTATTATTTAAAGAGTTTATCATTAATTCATTGTTTCTTTAAATTTCGTCGTATAAGTCAGATACAATGATAGTATTTCACCATGAGTGTTTTGTCTTACACGTAAAGAAGATTTTGGCTCGGACAATTTGTTGTTTATCTTAGCATACTGTCTTGATAAGTCTTTTAGAAGACACTTTTGAAAAAAGCTCGTACTGTATCCATTACTTATTAAACATTTTGACATATTAAAACTGTTTAAAACAGAATTTGAAATAATGTATCAATACTATAGATACAAGAAGATAAATTTTAAAGTAAAATACAAATTAAGACAAAATACTCAAACTTTTAAAAGATATATACTAACATTTAGATAATTTCAAGGTATTTTCCTTTGTGTGTTCTATAACATACTAATATCGCAAATTGAAATTGTTTAAACAATCTCATTGTATATATGTTTAGTTATACTTGTGAATAAAAGAAAAAAACACTTTGTAATGTTTGATACGTTTATCTGTTCAATGGCAGAATTCAAATAGACTTTTATACCCAAAGATAAATTTGAGAGAATAATTAACTTGATCGATGTTGCAATAATCAGATACCGCAAATCAAGTCCGGAGGAAGTTCTCTTGAAATAATAATATTGATTGTTTAGTTATGCGAAATCTGGGACCAACATGGGACCAAACATGTGATAAAGTTAAAGTTAACAAATTTGGATACATTATTTATGTGAAGATCACATTGATGAATCTTGGAGCAGAGCGTGAGCTTCTTATCCAAAAGTAAAGCTAGACAGTCATTAATATAGTGTCGTTGTGACGTAAACTAAACCATAAACTGTGAAAATAGGTAATTCTTTGAAAAGAAAAAATACAAAAAAGGGTGTTTAAATATTTACCGGTACATATCGCTCGCACAGTTTGTTACACGTACTATTGTTTAAAACATGATTGTGTCATCATCTTCTGTTAATATTGTTCTGACAGTTGAAGTAATTAACAAGAATCCAATGTTTGAATATCCAAAATTGAACAAAATATAAGACAAAATATAAGAACAGTATCTATTCGATCTAGAATATTTAGTCTGATATCATCTTTATTATCCAAAAATATTATTCCAACATGTATTGAAAATTAAACGTATTAACCCATTGTAATTTTTTAAATAATCCCCGACATTAAAACAAAAGGTGATGATAAAGCATGGTTATCACAGTTTTACCAGGAGGCTAGTCCAACTAATTGTACTGCGCGATGAGATATTGTGCTATTTTTGTGTCTGGGCAATATCTCGCCTCTAAAAAATCAAGATTCTGCCAAACAACGATTATATTTCAGAATCAAGCTTTGGCACGCCAATATATTTTGACTATCAGGAGGCAAGCATTTTCAAATTTTTGCATGAAGTGCATGAATCTCGACAGATAAAACTATCCATTAACATGCTGTAATAGGACATGTTTTATGTAAAAGAAACTCCTCTAATTGTCCATTACACAAGAGAATAAACAAAATCTCGGCTCGTATCACCTCAATACATGTTGTATATCCATAATCTCACACAATGGAGATATATCATGTCCATTTTTTCATTGATAGTAAGGATAATCTTACTATCTATATTTACTTTTGGATTTTGGAGTTTCTGCTTTCCATAGGAAGATGAAAAAATGGAAAAAAAACATCAAAAAGAAATAAACATAACAAAATATTAGGTACAAAATAGAATAATCTCAAATCAATGTTTTTCGGGAGATTTTTTTGTTTTGCTGCAGGTTAATGATTCACTACCGTTAACAATACAATGGTCAACGCGTTGTACTTATAATAGGCTTATAATAATTGTAAAAGAAAACAACTGATTAGATGGGAAGATGGTCAAACACCTGCTGATTCTGTGAGAGAACCATAACTCTGTGCCTAATTTTGAGGTATTGCCCTCTGTTCATGTTCACACTTTGACTTTTGTCCGGGACATAACTCTAAAACTATAAGAGATATTAACATGAATTTTTGTAGATAGATCTCATCGGGTAGAAGTGCGGTGCAAAAGAATAACTTTTAATAATAACTTTGCCTTGCATTATTTTGAAGTTATTGCCCTTTGTTCAATTTTACACTGAACTTTGCCTGTGACATAACTCTGACACTACAATAGGTTTACTTTCCTGTGTCCAAAACCTTTTCGGGGAGAATCACCCGGTTCAACCGCTTCGTGTTTTTTGTTTGGTTATACGATGCATCAATAAAGTTTGGGTCATATGATGTCGAAACAGGAAAGATGATTTCAGCTAACCTCGGATGTAACAAACTTAAAGCAACAACTGGTGTCAAAAACACCTCATCTTCTGGAGCTAAATGATGCCTAGTCTCCAATAATTCGTACCTGTTTAGACCTTTCTTATGATTACGCACAGTTAAAAGGTGGAAGACAACCCCTCCGTCACAAGGGACAAAAACAGTAAGATACCAAATAGAAGGATTAACAAAAAAAGATCACTAACATTAAATAGGTCTGTCAAGTATGACAATAAAAGACACTGAGGTATGTGCCAGTGCCATAAGCTTCGTTTTAAGGTATGACCACCCTAATGGGCGCTGAAAGGAACTGAAACTTCGACAACATAGCTTAAGAACACATGTGTAACACCGCACTTTAGGGTCCAACGCACTTTGGGGTCCAACGCACTTTGGGGTCAAAATCGAGAAATTGACCCCAAAGTGCGTTAATATGCTACTAATGGGCACTGAAAGGAACTGAAACTTCGACGACATAGCTTGTGAGACACATGTGTAACACAGCACTTTTTGGTCCAACGCACCTTGGGGTCTAACGCACTTTGGGGTCAAAATCAAGAAATTGGCCCTAAAGTGCGTTAATATGCTACATATCAACGTACTTTGGGTTCCAGAGTTTGAAGGTGTCAACTGAGTTCTGCTTAAATACTGAGTACTGACTTATTTTTGATCTGCAACATTGAAAAATTTGAGGTGGAGTTCAAGATGGCGGTCGTTTTGAGGCTTAAGTGATAGAAGTTTCATTAATTTTACCATTTGAAATAAATTAAAAATTGTGTCCATAAATCAAAGTACTCTAGTACATAAATTGTGAATGTATTCCTAAAATGAAAAGATGCTGTGAAAAATATCCTGTGTCAGTCATTTACTTGATAGCTGTTGGTGCCATATTGGGCCCCATTTTAAATATGATGGGGATGAAATAAAATGCAGTCAATATTTTTTTTCAAGAACTATAAATATTCTCTATTACAATGTTCCGGTGAATTATCATGTTTCTCGATCGGACTTTAAATAGTGATTTTTACAAATACATTATTAAGCTTGTCAACATAGTTTTTTGTAAGCTCCGTAACAACCGTTCGCCAGAGGCTTTTTTAATGGGAAATCTTACATACTTCTTTAGAAAGGGCAAACATGAATTTTATAATGCTTAAATAAAAAACAGAAAAAACAGTTCCCTCCCAATTGATTCCTTACATACTTAACACACTAAAAATATGTTTTCTCCATCTGTAATGATTGAAACATTTTTTTAAAAAAAAAGTCTATTATTATCACAACGCGAGATTAATGTGCAGCATAACATGGGACCCTCGGAATACCGTACTGCGGCTCTACTGACTAAGATATCCAGCCGCTTACAAACTACCTCCACTGATTATATTGTGACACAATCTTTTTCTGAATAATTTGGAATTCGAACATACCTCTACTTTGAGTTTCTTGAAGGGTTTTTCAACATCATTTTTATCCCATCTTATTACATGTACTATGTTTACAGTCCTAATTGTTCTGGAGTTTCATTTATTAAACAAATTATCAGGGGATAATTGGAAAATATTGGATCTGTCATCGTGGGAGGTCTTTACAGCAAGTATTAAGAGATAGAACATGTTCTATCCTGTAAATCTTGTATTAAGTTGTATGAATTCGAGAAAAAATTGCCTTCATACAGTAAGATTCTACCGTCTGTTTAGACCTCAACTCTTTGGCTACTATAGAAGTACTTTGGGATCAGACCTCAAAGTGCGTTGGACCCCAAAGTGCGGTGTTACACACATGTATGCAAAATTTAAACTAAATAAATAGTACGGTTTACGCAAAATGGACATTTTTCTTAAATAGAACATGTGTAGAGAAAGGACGGTTTTTTTTTTTTCAGGAAATGAGGAAACTTTAAATACATTATAATATCATCCTTATGAAAAATATTTTCCTATTTGATTAGTGTTAAGAAATAAATAACAGTATTCAGCTTACCTCATAATGTTTGAAGAGTGTATGAAAAATGTTACCCTACCCCAGCATTTTTAATCACTTGATTGACCATTTTCCTACTTTCAGAGTCTCATTTATAAATCCCTAATATTGACCAAAACATGGAGCTGTTTTCAAAGTTTGCCTTTTTTCTCAAAAGTGTAATAGCTGATTTTGTTAAATGTGAGATACTTTTACAGTGTAGCTTTGATTTAAGTATACTTTAAAAATAACATGTACCATATCAATTAATAAAATTAAGCATTATTTAGCCAGAATTTTAAAATAGAAACTTTTTTTTTCTTTCAAAAAATGATCCATGAAAAACATAAATAATGCTAAAAGAAAAAAGTTGACTCTTCTGGGGTTTCTAGCCTTCTTGAAAACTCTTCAAAGCGAAGGTATTGCATTAGGTTGGTCATACCTTGAACAGTATTCAGCCTAAGTTTATTTGAATTCGAAGGGCCGAATAAACCTACTTCTGAAATTTTCAACAGGGTCCGAGAGGTTATAAAGAGTGTACAATGACTTATTGATTCCTTAATATTAAAACATAATTTAGAAAAAGATTTATAACTTCAGGGCTTGATTGTACTAAAGATACATACTTAAGCAAAACTGATAAAAACGTAATGGACTACATCTTTTTATTATGGTTGCTATGATTGTGTAACATAAGTTAGAAATAAAATTTATCACAGGACACGTATCAATTTGAATGAGAAAAGTATGCCTCTTTGAAGATAGAACCTTTATACCGTTTTAAGTTAGTCAATATTCAATTAAATTAAAATTGTACAAAAGTATCGTTTTCAAACAAAAGTTCAAATATAAATGTAGGCAATTCAAAGTAAGGGTTAGCTCTGTTAGACTTCAAGCCCATATGTACATGTGTTTTAAATTGCTCGTAAAAGTATTTGTTGCTTCAGACAATCTTCAGTAGAATAGCTGTATCTTTACATTAACCTCCAACCATGGGGAAAATGTATATTTTTCTAAATGCGTAGCCAATATACCTAAAAGCATTTTTATAAGTGTTATGTCAAATTGTTTAATAGATCATGAGTTTAAAATCATGTAATTAAGATATGTGTGTCTTGTTTCGTTTATATCGCTTCTAAGGTGTGAATTGATCAACATTTTCTGCACCATAATGACGCAGGGAAGGTAAATTATAGATTCAGACATGTCTATTTTAATCATATTATTATTGTGAAACCAATTACTGCAATTGATATCCTTTCTCTAAATCCAACGATTACTGACATAATATAGGGTAATATGTTCGTGAACTGAGTAAGATCCAACATTAGAAACAGGAGTGGGAAGGCAGACATCTAAACCACTATAGAACACGGCTAAAGATATGTTCTTAATAAATGCTACGTTTTTACAACTATAATGTCTTTACATGATATTGTTGGTAGTTGAGCCATGTTCAAATTAAATGTACAGGTAAATGTTACAAATACGAGCAAAAATACATAATACATTGTATTTACATTGTCTACATTGACAGACATTACTGCTCGAGCTCGCACTTTTTATCACATAGATAGTTTGTGAGTTCTAAGCACACATTATTATCTTTACAAATTAGTTAACCAATAAAAGAAACACGTTTACATTATGTGAAAATTAAGATTATGGTATGCTGAAAAGGATGAGAAACTCAAAAGAAAAAGTTTTTTGTTTTTGTTTTTTGTTTTGTTTTTTTTTTTGTCTCTTTTATTGTTGTAGTTTTGTTTACTTTAAGGGTGTCTTCGAATAATGCCTAATTACAGGATAAGTTTTGGTATTAGACCCATAAAATATTAAAGGTTCAAGTTTAAATGTTACAAATAGGATCAAAGGCACATAATATTTACATTGTATACATAGACAGACATCACTGCTCGAGCTCGCACTTTTTATCACGTAGATAGTTTGCGAGTTCTAAGCACACACTATTATCTTTCCCTTTAAGAATGTCAACACTGGTATCAAAATAATCTGATAAATGTCCACTCCTCAGAGTTGTCTCCAAATCTCTCAATGTTTCAACAAGGCAAACATCCCGGTTGTTATGATGCCAGAACTCTGGAGACGTATGTCGCTCACATGACCAAAGTAACTGCGTCTGTAAAATATCACCAATCAAATTACTCAACCAATCAAACGAAAACATGTAAATCATAACCATGTGGTAAATAAGATTATGTCATGTTGAAAAGGAATTGTAGTATGTTGAAACTATGTTAATAAAGGCAATAAAGGCTAATGAAACTATTAAAATAGATCATTTGTGAAAGATTTCTCATTTAAATAGGAGAATACCTTAAATTATATTATGCATTTGTTATATAGAATTTGTCACCAGCATTGTGGCCGTTTAAAAATAAATGGTTGTATATAACATTACAATTAACGATTAAGATGGATATTGGTGACGTGTTATGATAGCTCATTTCTGATAAAATGTAACTTTCAAGAAGTATTTAATCCAATTTTCAAGAAAATAATTTAAAACGCTAAGATTTATTTATTAATTCCGGCACCTTTAAGATATGTGATGACAACCCGCGAAGTCCGCTTGGCGAACGTGATTTACAACTTTGCATGTACTTCTTCAACATCTTGTAAACAAATTTCCTACATCCGTTTCCCTCGTCCAATCGTGAGAACAGTGCCCTTTCCGCCTTTGAGTACGAAACAGCCCAAAATTCATCCTTCTTAGGTACCAGGTGAGTTCCAGTTTCTTTCACATCTTTTATGAGCGGTTCGCTAAACGCCCGTTTAGTTTCACGGCGTGGCCATTTTTCTATCGGAATACCGCAAGGCAAAGATATCGTTATGTCAACACTTATATCATGCTGTATCTTATACCGCTTTGGTGGATGGATGGTCAGCGTCAAAGCAGGTCCATGGGCGTTCCTACTAAGATCTACATCTGAAAAAAAGCAATTTTTCAAATAATCATATAAGAATAAAAACTTGGTCGTAATTAAACTCTGTATCTATTTTTAGAGGATTAGAATGATTTTGTAAACCTCCAATTTATGAGAAAAAGCTTACATTTTGCATTCATTTTTGTATATGAATCGATGTGAAGAAATGAATTAGACGTCATAAAGTGCATTTTCGACGGTAGAAAAGGCGAGATTTTGGCATTTAATCATTCAAGCGCCTTATCCGGTATATACTGTATTAATTGTGACGCTACAACACATTTTTAATTGCACTCAGTTACAAGAAGATAAAAATCCATAGTCATTATGGCTGATAAAATTTTACGAGAATTTGGAAATTTCTGAAATCTCTCTAAGAAGTAAAAGCTTCTTCATTCTGCATCGATTTTCAAAAATAATCTGCACATTGTACATGTATGATAGACCTATATAAAATACAAATACTTACAATTCAATTCCCCTAATTTATCCTTTGCAGTTCTGATCTTTTGATATAAATCATAACGAATTTCCCTTGGGACAAGATCATTTCCATGCAATAGTTCGCCTGGTACTTTGTCACAAGTGGTAGATGCTATAGCGTAACTATTAGGGGCCTTGACAGCACTTCCTGTTTTACTTAGTTCACATTTAATATTCATGTTTGTGGCATGCTCGCTCTGACAAAAATCCGTACAAAATGGTGTAATAATTGGCAAGTTCTCTTCTATATTAAACATATACATGTATGTAGCATTTGGTTTTAAATAACGACTTAACGTTGCAAACATAATATAAAATGAATATTACTGCTAACAGTTGTTCTATGCATATTTACCCTGGCAAATTTATTTCTTAAGCATTTTTTTTCGCCAAAATTTTCTTGATTTAATATCAAGCAATACACTACTGCACTATGGTACAGTGCAAAATGAGTTAACCTGAAGGACGTTTCCTTTCTTTGCTACGGTTAATATAAAGGCATTTACATGTACGCAAAATGTTACTGACACTGACATTTCATATGATTTATTTAAACTTGAATTTGAATCAAGCGTCTTTCAAAACGGCAAAAAGGAGGACAGATCTCGAAGAATGTATAGGTGGGTTTAATATGTCAGATATATTTTGACCAATTGCTCAATACTATACATATTAACAAATTTCATGAAATTTAGTGTAACATTCAGAAAGTGTAAAAAAAACTCATATATATGTAACGAAAACAGTAATGTTATAAAATATCATAAAATTTGAACTTACTTCACCATAGGTGTAGTGTATAGATTTTCCGCGACTGACCTTCACATCTTGTTGTTCTAATTTTAAACAGATATTGGTATCGAATTCGTCTGGTTTTCCGATTTTTGTGTTCACCGGGAAACTACCAGCCTTTCTGTGGTTCGGGCAATATATATCTCCGCCTTTTTGGCCATTTACATGTTTCATTATTTTAGCTAATGTGTCATTTACAAGTTCAACGGATATTTTCTTTTCATCTTTGTCAATATCTACCTTTTTAGCATAGTATTCGTCAATAACTTTCTTCCTGTTCAATGCAAATTGTTCTTGTGTTACAACCTTACCAGACTTTACTTTAGCTGTTGCTTGACTTGGCTCAGGTTTTCTTGTTTGCTCTATATTATGTTTGTCTTTGATATGTTGTGCCAGGTGAAATTCGTGGTTTTCTGATTTTCTTTTTACGTGAATAGAATCGTTGAGTTGCTTTGCTAGGTGTTTGTCCTTGGTATGCTGCAATAACGCATCGTGTGTTTCAAACTGACTGGAGCATATTGAACAGTTGTAGGGATGTCTCGGTGCTCCGCATTTTACAGTAGGCGGATCAACTTTATGTCTATCCCGTTGATGAGACAACTTACTCGCATTTGCAAAGCTTTGAGGGCATGAAATACATTTCACTCCATTGAGACTTTTTCCGTTGCTAGTCGACTTGACTGAGTGATTTAAATCCTTCACGTCGATTTTATGCTTGTCTTTCGTGTGCTGCGTTAAATCACGACCAGATGAATATCGTTTTGGACAGAAGACACAGCTGAATGTTAGTGTGTTTTGCTGATGATTGTTTTGAAAAGAAGGAACTTTCGTAGACTGGTTGGCTTGATGCTTGTCTTTGCGATGTTGTTCTAGCTTACATGGAGCAGAAAACTGTCTTGTACAAGAAGAACATTTAATAACATTGGTTTGTTTGTTATCTGGCATTCTGAAGTTTGAATTGTGCACATTGCTTCCAGGCGGTTTGGTTCCGTGTTTATCTCTACTATGCTGTAAAAGTTCCGTTTGTAAAGTAAAGCTTTTATCACAATTATTGCATGGAAACTTTCTAGAAGAAACTGTATTTAGCGATCTGCTAGCACTGTTAGGCACTTCTCGAGCTGTCTGAGAACTCAGATTTCTACTTGATCTCGCTGGTGCAGATTGAGCTGTTCTAATAGCTACTTGCTTTGTTGCCTTAGGTTTCGTATTTCGACTAGCCATTAGCTCCTTGACAATGTCTGTGAAAATATGAAAATGTTGCAGGCTCGGTTTTATTGAGCCTGTTCATGAACGGTTTTGGAAAGTGAAAATAACCGCCCCGTCCCTTAGCAGCGACACAAGCAGAATTCAACATTTAATTATGATAATGGGTAAATTTTGAATTTGGAAACATCCTCAGTTGTGTTCATACAGAGATTATCATGGAACCTTCAATGTGACACGTTAGTGTCATTCCATGATATGCGGCGTAAAAGTGTGTGTGCCCTAAACGAGAAATCAATGGGCGGAACTTAAGAAAATCGATTTTTATAAGATCAGAGGTAATGAAGCCTGCATATCACACACAAGCTGTCAAAAGACAAATTTAAAAACCAGGTGACATACCCTAAGGGTGATTAAATAGTAATAAAGTGAGGAATACTGGAACCACCCAACTAGAAAACAGCCGAATAGGAAGAACTATAATGTCGTGCTGAACAATCTTTAAGGATCGGAAATATAACATCCCTTATTGATTGTACGGGGTGACTTTTTACGCCCTCCACACGGCATAAATAACGATGTATGAGAAATAAAGAATCTCTAAAGAACGCACAAAACGACAAAATTGAAAATGTTGCAGGCTCGGTTTGATTGAGCCTACCGAGTTTGATTAGAATAGCTCATTCCTAACTCTTGTTATTATCAGGAAACCTTTTTTCTATTTTAGTAACAGTGAGCTTGACCCCAGGGGGTCTAAAATCAATCCCAACCCGGGTTTTCATATAGGCTTATCATATACCGAATTTGATGACAATATCTCATTGCTCACTCTAGTTAAATATCATCCGAAAACCATTTTTCTATTTTAAGTAACAGTGACCTTGACTTTGACCCCATTGAGTCTTAAGGCAATCTCAACCGAGTTCTTCATAAATGCTTGTTACATACCATGTATGATTATAAAATCTCATTTCTAACTCTAGTTATCATCCGGAAACCATTTTTATATGTTTAGTAACTGCTAAAAGTGATATTGACATTGATCCCAGAGGCCAAAAAGCAATCCTAACTTGGATCATCATATATGCTTGCTGACAATATCTCATTCCTATCGGGAAACGGTTTTTGGTAACAGTGACCTTGACCCAAAGGGGGGGGGGCAAAAAAAGCGATTCGTACCGATGTCTTCATGTAAGCTTGTTATATACCAAGTTCTATTACAATATCTCATTCCGGAAACCATTTCCTACTTAAAGTAACAATGACCTTGACCCGAAGGGATTCGAAAATCAATCCCAACCGGGGTTTTCTCTATGCTTGCTATATATCAAGTTTGATTTCAATAATAATTCCAAACTTTGGTTATCGTAAAGAAACCATAAAGTGGGCAGACCGACAAACCGACAAGTTGACTCCGTTGACTGCGTGGGTAATAAAAAAGTAATACGGTCATGGCAGTAAATAAACTTTAAAAACAATATTAATGTCCATTTATAACACGAAAGGAGAAAAGGTTTATTATGATATTGGGACATCAGTCCCATACACAAACATGTTTTAATCAATATCTTCATGGATTAAACAATCCACTCGATAAAGTACATTGAAATGTGATTTGTATTGTTAAAATGTTTTAATTGAATGGATTATTTTATTACTGACACCAGATGACAATGGGACAGCAAACTGCATGGGACGGTGGGTGGTGGGGCGGTTATGTGTCTGTGATCCAAAAATGCATACTTGTATTAAGATTCAATTTTACTACGCATACATGTTGTTACAAAAAGACTCTAATTTCATGAGATTACCTATGTGTATACAATTAAAAAACTTAATAATAAACGAAAAAGCATATGTTTACATGCAACTACCTTGACGGATAACATTAAAAAGAACTTACCTTTATAAATTTATATTTTGTCACTTGTAAGCCCTGCAAATCTTGTGACAATTAGTCATATTGGGTTTTTCCAGAATATATATAAATAGGTAAATCAAACTTCAACGCGTACACAACGCACTGTGTAGCAAATGTTACGCGAAAGATAGCGTAAGTAGGATAACATATTTCACTGTTCCTGCGTTCTTATAGACTACAAAATTATGGTTGTTTTTTTTTTTTTTTTTAAAAATACGCTAGTAAAAATCTGTTTGAATAAAAGAAATACCTAAAATGACTTTAAAGGGACTGCACTAAGGTTTAAAAGCCTAAACACATAACATTTGAATTTCTTACATAAATGAGATGGGGCACTTTAAATAAAAATATATGCAAAGATAGTTGAGAAATATACTTTGAAATCAATTGAAAATCGTATGTTTATGCTTTTCTTAGCCCTATTTGAGTAAAAAGTGTTTTAACGCTTTTCATTTTGGGTCATTTTTTTACAATTTGAATAATTATTCTGGAAAAAACGAAGTGCGCGAATGATCTGAAATTTTACACAAAGATTAGTGGCCTTAACCTTCATCAAATGGTACATTTACCTGGAAAAATATTTTCAGTACCATCGTGTCAAAAAAACCTTAGTGGAGTCCCTTTAACAACGAAAAAACACCATTAAGACTAAAGTTATCACAATTAGCCCGTCTTTCGTGTAACACTTGTTTCCCGTGGAATGCGGTTATGAAAAATACAATTAAATGTCGTTTATAGAGATTGGTCGAAAAAACATTGAATATCATAATGATTAACTATTTCAAATTCAAACTACTATTTAAGTATATACACCTACATGATGATATAAACCTACATGATTACATGATTATATTATATTCATGTTTATATATTTACACGAATGCAAAAGTCAATATAAGCTGTAAGAATATTTGCTTATAAATATATAATGATGACAGTTGCCACAGCTCTACGCAATATCTATCACAATTTCCATTTAAATTCAGTGCACAATAAACAAGTCAAATACAAATGCAGAAACACATCACCCCTCATCACCCCCACATGCAACCCGGAAGCATAAATGCTGTATAATTTACACATATATACATTTGTAATTTTACATAAAACTTAGTTTTGATATTGTATTTGTTGAAAAAGAAAAGGTTGATAAATAATAATTTACAACTAAATATAATATTTTACTGTAAATCTGGGCAGTATAAATGTCTTGATTTTGAAGAAGTTGTGCTGATTTATGGAAACTAAAGTTTTCTCGACGGTTATATAGCTAAAGACGCATGGTACTCTCCCTATTAAAAGGTTGTGTCTTCATAAAGAATTGACTGGGAAACTTTATTAAAACGTGACGTGCTATCAGGATAACATATGACAAGTTATCAAAAACATCTCCATCTTTACATCTAAAAACAAATCCCTAGTCATTTTTACTAAATAACAACAACATCGAATTGACCCGGAGACGAGGACATTTGCAAATAAAAGCTCACTACCCTTGCTTTTCCCTAGCACATGGGTACAGGTCAAGGACATTACGCACTACCCTTGTATTTCGCAAGATTGGTATTAAAAGATCCGTGTTTATTTTATGCTTTTCAGTGGATTACTGATTTATCCGTGAAAATTATATTTGATAATTTCACAGTGAAAATTATCAAAATATAATTTCACTTTTTTCAATAACGAAACTACTTTTTTAAGATTTTCCCCATGTGGTACCTAAATTTTATTTTTACGACAATTCTGACAATGTCAGGCTGTTAAAAGAAATAGCAAAACTGAAATAGATAAATAACTTAAATGTCAAAAGTAACACAGAGAGAAAACTTACTTCTATTCCTTCAAATTCCAATCACCAAATTTCGTCTCTAATTTTTTTTGTTTCGTTTTTACAGTCTAAAAAATACATTCCTTCCCCATGCAAAACTGCTCTTGATGACATTTGGGCATATTAAAGTATCCTACGAGCAATAACTGCCGTATGCTTTATGAAAAATTGAAAAGCATTGACAGCCATCACTCGTAAAATAAGTAAAAAAACCCAGCGTTCCTTCAGCTGTTCAGCTAGCTAAAGATACTTCAGCGAACAGGTTTTATAGTTTTGCTGTCGCAACGTCAAAATAAAAGCGACATATAAAGTTATGGAAGTCAGAACAACTGTTCAGCAAGCTTCCAAGTTTTCCATTTTCCTTGCTCCTTTTCTGAATGTTTTTACTTCTGTCAACACTTATTTTTTGTCTGTTACAATCCTCAAATAAGTTTTCTTTCTTTTAAAAAGGTGTATGACTAACAAATCCAAGTTATATCCTTCTGAATCTTACACAATTATTTTCCTCCCATGAAATACACAACTTTAAAAAATGGCTGCCGTTTACATTTTAGAAAGCCAGGTCTAATATAAATTCGCAGTAAGTAACAGAAATATGGATGGATGGTTGGAATTTTCTCCTGCAAGAATTGTTTGTTTTTATTATTAAAACAAGCGATCATTCATACTTTTTTAATAAAATGAATAAATATCACCACCATTTAACCTTGATTGGCGGACTTATTTTTCAGCTCAAGACTTCTTGTTTTAAATGAGAAATTCCGTCTAAATGGGGCTCTCAATGGGGGAAACAGATTTTAATATTAACGTTAAAATTTTGGAAATTTCGTTTTAACTTGTTTTTAAGCATAAAATAAAAAGAAAATTTGTCTGTTTGTTGTGTAAGATGTAATTTTATTTCATCTCGTGAACTTTAAAAACAGTATTCTCACTCGTGGCTACGCTACTCGTGAGAATACTGTTTTTAAAGCTCACTCGATGAAATAAAATTTCATCTTACACACAAACAAACAAATATCCTCTATATATTTACAGGCAGCTTTATCATATGATAACATATGATAACTTTTTATTGATGATAGACTTTGTATGTCTCAGCAAAAATATGTCTCAATATATGTTCTCTTCCACCTCCCAAAATGTGTTTGAAGCCAGTTGTTAATGAATATCTAAAAAGTGTGACAAAAGCTCCATGACCTGGTGATGATGACTTTTAAATGTCATTATCAAATTGATTTCAACTTCATTATTGCAACAGCCCGAACAAAACAACAACAATGGTGACATTCGAAATACATTTATCCTTGTTTTATATACA